CTCCGCCTGACCCGCGCCGCGTCCGAACCCGCCGCCCCGCTCCGTCCCACGGGCGCCGGGACGCGACGTGGGGCCTCTCCCGTTGCCCCGGTGCTCAGGTGCCCCTCTGTGCGGGCGCTGCTGCAGACCCGCCACCACCAAGGAAAGCGGTGAGCGGCTGTGTGTCGGGGTGTCCCGCCAGCTGCGAGAATGCGTGAAGAGAAATCTCCCCGCCCGGAGTGCCTACAGGAAGTTGCCAGTAGGCACAAATTCTCCTAACGCATGTGGTGTGCAGCGGACAGACGGCTTCTCTCGGGTGCTGGACTGTGAGGAGGTGCTGAGGACACCTAGGGAGCATCAGCTCTCCCTCGTCTACACAGTGCTGAGGAAGGACTGAGCTCCTTCAGGGAAATGGAGAGTTAAAGCCACAGTGGGGGTCTCCCCAAAACAAAGGTCTGTGCAAGCATGCATGGCTGTGTTTCACTGCCTATTATTTTGTGAGGGATTGCGTGTCTGCAATCTGGGTTAAAAATAACCCGGAAAGGTTAACTTGAAAGGTTATTTTTAATGTCGTTCATTTCAATGATTTGGTCTACAGTGTAGCTGCAGAATCCGAATCAGAAGTGGTGGCAGTACTGAAAGGGCACCAAGCACTATCGAGGTGGCAGAAAGGAACAACTGGAGGGACTGGAAACTAAACTGAAGACAAATAATTTGTTGGTATTTTATATTCTGCTCCTGGGATGTCAACAGCCACCTGAAAATGAAGGCAGTGTAAATCATATCTTCACAATTTGATCCTGCAGACTCTTAGTACAGTCTTACCAAGCAGTTATTCACAGAAATAAAGAATTTCAGATTCCACAGCAAGTAATGAGGGAGCTCTGACTACAGCTTGCAGGATTTGTCCTCTGCTGACCAGAGGAACTTGAGCGACAGGAGTTCAAAACAAGACACTCCAATGTTACTGTTCTGTTTGTAAAAGCAGTGAATGTCCACTAAGGAAAATAGTAGCCAACCGGATCTGGACAGATTCCAAATCTACAAACCTTTAGCAGCAGTCCTGCTGGGTAACTTACCAGCACAGAGGAAACTTCACACCAGCTCAAAGCCTAGCAGAAAGTGGGGAATCGGCCAAAACTTGCATTCCTGTGGCCAGTGTCCAATGAAAAAAATGGTCCCTAGTCAACAAAGAAAAAGGATTACAAGCACTTGAATAAGAAAATGCAAAGAGTTAACTCTAAAGGAGTTGTACTAAGGTTCACTTTGATAGACCATTGCAAATATGATTTGCTGTCTTCTTGTTTAAATGAGATGCAGAGGAGAAAATAGAAAATAAAGGGAAAGGCCATGAACATGTGTTGATACGTGTAGATGGACTAATCCTGTGAAAGGAGACCTGCTTGCTGTACCTGGGAATGAGATCAGGGACTCCTGTAGGTAATTCAGTTAGCCAGTCCATGCCTCAGTGTCCTCTTTTGTCAAATACAGAGAAGGGGATCAATATTTCCTTATTGTGCAGAATGATTGCAAACTTGCCTTCAGTGTGCCATGCAGAGTACATTCTATGATATAGAACAAAATAAAAAAAAAAAAGGATTCACAGGAAAGAACAAGCATCTGAATAATAAGTCAGATTGAAAGATTGTGAGTACCCTCTTCTGCTGTTTGCATAGCAAATGTCAAGCAGAAAGATGTACCTTTGGGAGGAGAAGGGGCAGGATGTAAGAAACGCAATGTTCCCTAGGGTTCTTAGGAACAGCTGACTTGGAACAGGGATGAGAAGACA